GATGAGGGAAAACCTGTGAGGAGGGGAAGAATGGAGAACAAATGTGAAGTGGTAGGTGTATTACTAAATTGGTCATGGCTTTACCGAAAAATTAAAGCATAATTAGTTACCTTGCCACTTGTCACAAGCTGTGTGGACCCGTTGTCTCAGAAAACCTCTTTGGTGGGAGAAGGGATAAATATTGTTTACCAGCTAACCCCTTCCCATTCTGTATACTATTTCGTATTGGTCAAAGTTTGCTCCAGATGGCGTGTGCTCCCTTACGCTTCCGGGTTGTATCACTCAAATTTCCAGGCAGCTGATGGGGAAGTGAGACCCCACACCCACGGGGTGAGAAAAGCCAGCTCACCACTGAGTCCTATCCCTTAGTCCCAGGGACCGGAGGTGCTGTGGCTTTCACTGCGATGTTCATGGAGGAGCGGTGTCAGAGCCTTAGAGGCAGGCAGCTATGGAAGACACCACGTCTGGCACGGTGGCTGTGCACTATAGTTGAAAGTGCAGTGGTTCACTACCATGCCCTGTGATCTGTCTGATTTTTACAGAAGCCAGAGAGTTGACTCAAAAGAGAATATTATGGGAACCTCTTCAACTTTAACAGTGGTGTTTCTCTCGGTCACTCTTCAAGGAAGGTGGAATTACTCCTGCAAATGGCAAGAGATAGGGAGTTTCAGGAGCTAACACATAGCCAGTGGTTGTTAATCAGGGGTGATTTTGCCCCCCTAGGAAATAAGGAAGATCCCTTGGAGAAGAAAACGGAAACCTGCACCAGTATTCTTGCCCAGGAAATCCCAAGAACAGAGGGGCCTGGCAGGCTCCAGTCTGTGGGGGTCCCAAAGAGTCAGACACAACTTTGCAATTAAACAACAACAGCAGCAAGGGGATATTTGGTAATGTCTGGAAGCGGTTTAGGTTGTCACAACTAGAAGGTGTCACTGGCGTTTAGTGGGGGGAGGAGAGAGATGCTGCTGAGCATCCTAAATGCCCAGGAAATGCCCCACAGCAGAGAACTGTCTGGTTCCAAATGGCAATAGTGCTGAGTTTAGACCTCCCTACCACAGTGACCCCAATCCACAGGACAGGTAATGGATTTGAGGATGCTGCCAAAAGCTAAGTACCTCTGTCTTCATTATACATTCAAGAACCAAGGAAATAATCACAAAGCAAGTATCAAAAACCACTGACCCACAATTAGATGGACTTGGTCTCTGTAAGCCTCTGTTTTAACCAGAAGACCATGTTGGTGTTTCAGACCTCCTGCTATCAGTATCATCTCATACACTGTAACTAACAGCCCTTGAAAAGTCTAGGTTTGACTCACCCTGGCATACCGTTACCCAGGCAATTTGCCTCGGTTCCCTTTCAGGGAAGGATCAGAGGAGAAATTATTGTCTGTATTCTCAGTGGCATTAGAGGGTCCTTCCTCAAGCGGATCCATCTATCAATCCTTCAATCAATGGGCTCTGGGTTTGTTACCTGACTTAGATCTAGAAACTCAGTGATAGAGTACAATTTTCCATCACAGGAGGCAATGACGGCATTTTCCTCAACAATTCTTGATGTTTTAAAATTATTTAAATCAAGTATCACCCTAGTCAGCTTCCCAAGGCCGTATACCCCTGAAAGTAGGCACCCTCGCTCATACGAAGGCCTTTCTGCTCTTAATGTTACTTGGGGCTTGCTTTCCATTGATGGTAAAGCACCACCACTTGGTTTTTGAAAGTCCAGATACCTTTTACCACAGTGGATTAGAGGGAGCCCAATTCCATAGTAGCATCTTCCACTGTGATCCCTGGCCTACAGAAGGCAGCCACCACTGAGCTGCTTCTCAAAGATGCTGGTACTATTGCCTCCAGTTCCCCATCATCCCTACCATCCACCTTCAGGCCTGGGAAACATAGTCAGATGGTAAATCTTAGAAAATGAATCCATTGTCACATGCCCACCTTCTTGAGATTTCTGACTCCTTTATCTAAACTATGTCAAGGAAGTTTCAACATCACCCCATCATCTCCTTCTGGCCATTGCAGTAACTAGGCTGGAAGGAGCTGTTGCAGCAGTGAATAAGAACCAGCTCCAGGTGTCCTCACCAGAACCCTGAATCCTGAATCACAGGTAAGTGCCCGTGGCAGTCCATTCTTATCCATCCAGCCTCTCTACCTCCTCTGGTCAAAGCATCTCAAGACACACACCCACGGTGTTCCCACAGTTCCTGCCAGATTGTGTGATCAGGCGTGACCTTTCCTTTGGCAAACAGGCTGTTTCTTCCCCAGCAGGGTTTGTACTTCCTCTTGCATCATTATTTGCATGGGGGCAGGGAAGTGGGTCAGAGTGGGTCTTGGGGAAAACTTGAGAATGAGCGTCATTTGGGGAGGTACCTGCTTCTGGTGACGTCATTGCATGCCCTCCAGGCAAGGGGGACTCTTCACCTCTGACCGGGAGAAACAGGCTGTTTCTGCCAGCCAGGGAGAGTCAGGTTTGTCTGCATCAATGTCTCCATGCTAGGGTTCAGCTTCCTACTCTTTCCTTATCGAAGTCCTGACCTTGACCTAGAGGCATGTTGAGGCTATACCCTTAGTTTTCTTCACAGCTCTGCCACCCGGAACTGATTTTCAGTACAGATACCTTTCAATGGCAGGACATGCGAGCCTCATTCAAAGCAACTCTCAAAGTTCTTTGACTTTCAGAGCATGACTTCAGTTGGTAATAGGTGCCCCGAGCCTATCATCTTATCAAAACCTCAGATTCCTTGAAATCAGCCACCCCTACACCTCAATCATTGCCCCTTCCTTATCAAATAAGGTAGCACCATGATATTCCCAAGTTTAGCCGTTCACCTGTACTTCATCCCAATTAACCATGGGTGAATGAGTTGGCTATTGTAATGCCACTTCAAAGGGCTCTTACCATTTCACTCACCTGATTGATTTCAGACAGTCAAATACAGAATCAATTCCAAAATCTCACTCTGAGGGTCTTTCAAGGACACTTCTGCTAACTTTCTCTGTAAACAAAGTCTGAGGCAAAGCTTGTGTGTGGATGCTTTATTTATTGGTAGTACCTTCAATCAATGGGCTCTGGGTTTGTTACCTGACTTAGATCTAGAAACTCAGTGATAGAGTACAATTTTCCATCACAGGAGGCAATGACGGCATTTTCCTCAACAATTCTTGATGTTTTAAAATTATTTAAATCAAGTATCACCCTAGTCAGCTTCCCAAGGCCGTATACCCCTGAAAGTAGGCACCCTCGCTCATACGAAGGCCTTTCTGCTCTTAATGTTACTTGGGGCTTGCTTTCCATTGATGGTAAAACACCACCACTTGGTTTTTGAAAGTCCAGATACCTTTTACCACAATGGATTAGAGGGAGCCCAATTCCATAGTAGCATCTTCCACTGTGATCCCTGGCCTACAGAAGGCAGCCACCACTGAGCTGCTTCTCAAAGATGCTGGTACTATTGCCTCCAGTTCCCCATCATCCCTACCATCCACCTTCAGGCCTGGGAAACATAGTCAGATGGTAAATCTTAGAAAATGAATCCATTGTCACATGCCCACCTTCTTGAGATTTCTGACTCCTTTATCTAAACTATGTCAAGGAAGTTTCAACATCACCCCATCATCTCCTTCTGGCCATTGCAGTAACTAGGCTGGAAGGAGCTGTTGCAGCAGTGAATAAGAACCAGCTCCAGGTGTCCTCACCAGAACCCTGAATCCTGAATCACAGGTAAGTGCCCGTGGCAGTCCATTCTTATCCATCCAGCCTCTCTACCTCCTCTGGTCAAAGCATCTCAAGACACACACCCACGGTGTTCCCACAGTTCCTGCCAGATTGTGTGATCAGGCGTGACCTTTCCTTTGGCAAACAGGCTGTTTCTTCCCCAGCAGGGTTTGTACTTCCTCTTGCATCATTATTTGCATGGGGGCAGGGAAGTGGGTCAGAGTGGGTCTTGGGGAAAACTTGAGAATGAGCGTCATTTGGGGAGGTACCTGCTTCTGGTGACGTCATTGCATGCCCTCCAGGCAAGGGGGACTCTTCACCTCTGACCGGGAGAAACAGGCTGTTTCTGCCAGCCAGGGAGAGTCAGGTTTGTCTGCATCAATGTCTCCATGCTAGGGTTCAGCTTCCTACTCTTTCCTTATCGAAGTCCTGACCTTGACCTAGAGGCATGTTGAGGCTATACCCTTAGTTTTCTTCACAGCTCTGCCACCCGGAACTGATTTTCAGTACAGATACCTTTCAATGGCAGGACATGCGAGCCTCATTCAAAGCAACTCTCAAAGTCCTTTGACTTTCAGAGCACGACTTCAGTTGGTAATAGGTGCCCCGAGCCTATCATCTTATCAAAACCTCAGATTCCTTGAAATCAGCCACCCCTACACCTCAATCATTGCCCCTTCCTTATCAAATAAGGTAGCACCATGATATTCCCAAGTTTAGCCGTTCACCTGTACTTCATCCCAATTAACCATGGGTGAATGAGTTGGCTATTGTAATGCCACTTCAAAGGGCTCTTACCATTTCACTCACCTGATTGATTTCAGACAGTCAAATACAGAATCAATTCCAAAATCTCACTCTGAGGGTCTTTCAAGGACACTTCTGCTAACTTTCTCTGTAAACAAAGTCTGAGGCAAAGCTTGTGTGTGGATGCTTTATTTATTGGTAGTACGATCCCAAGATAGGAAGAGTCAAAAAAGCGAAATGAAGCAGAGAAGGAAGAGTGGCAAATACATGGAGGGTGGTCCATAAGTGAACTGGCCACAGCTTTGTAGGAAAACACAGCCAATTATTTGATCTTATGAAAGGTATCCACGTTAGGAAACACCTTCCAAGAACAGTCCATTGAGGGGAACGTCCCAGTTTTCTATTGCTGTGTAAAAGGCTAGTGAGAGAACCTAGTGACTTAAATTAATCATTCTGTTTTTCCCCACCTTTATGAGGAATCTGGGAAGAATGGGACTGAGTGGTTCATCTCTAGTCCATGTGACATCAGCTCTGGTCGTTGGGATAGACATTCCATTGTCAAGATGGCGTCTCCACTCCTGGTCTGGGATGGCTGGTAGTTGATGTGAGCTCTTGGCTGAGAGCTCAGTTGGGCTACTGGGACATGGATTCTCCATGTGGTTTGGGCTTCTCTCAGCATTGTGGCTCAGTATTCAGAGTGACCATCTCAAGAAAAGGCCCTCTAGGGGAACAAGGCAGAAGTTGTAAGACTTCTTACGAAGTCCAAGAAGGCTGCTTCCACTACATTCTATTAATTAAGCAAGTCCCCAAGGCCGGTGTCAATTCAAGGGGAGGGGAAATTAAGCTCTACTCTCAATGGAAAGAGTGCAAGAATATGCTGCCATCTTTAATTTACCACAGTCCACAGGCCAGGAAAGAGGACCAGCAAATACAAAATGTTACATGACTGAGCAGCCCAGTGTTATATAAGAAAGCACAGCCAGTTATTTAAATATTTCAGTCCCAAATAGGATGTTAGGAAAAAACCACCTCAGAACAGTCTATTGAGAAGAAAGGAGACTTTATCTGCTCTTTCCTCACCCCCATTCTCTGTGTTGTCTTTCGCTGTCAAAGTTTGCGATATAACTCGGCAACTCCTGCATTCCTGGGTTGTGTCACTTGCCCTTCTTCTTGCCAGGTGGCTGCTGGGGAAGCCATATTCCATAACCCACTAAGCAGCCCTTCATCTGAGTCGGAAGTAAGTGGGATGGTTGACTCAGCACCTCCAATCCTCGGCGGGAAAGCGGCTGCAGCCCTTGACAGTGGTAGGTAGAGTGGGTCACCCTACAGCCAGGCCTTAACCTGTGTGTATGTGCGCGCGCGGAAGGGTGGGGGTGGGGGGGGCAAGGGGGAAGTGGAAAAATAACTAGTGGTGTTAGAAGTCGGTGCTGGTTAACAGGTGAGTGATGGAGAGTAAGTCTCTCCAGTGAGAGTGAATGAGGCTGAGTGAGTCTGGGGAAATGCATAAACCTGGTCCAGTGCACACGTTTAAACATTGCCATTCAGTGCAACTTTCACAAGTAGTCAAGTCATAAAAGAGATGCTTTTCCATCCATCTAAGGTCTCTCGTGGTTGATTTAGAACCCTCTGTGCCTCTCTCAAGTGGTTCCAAACTTGGGAGGGGTGGCTGGATATTTTCTATTGTCCCTCCAATCTCCTACCCACTTTCGTCCACCTGTCTGAGCCCTGGGAGGCTGCCTTTATAGACATTCTGTAGAAGTTTCCAAGTTTCTGGCTTTCGGTTGGGTTAGTCAATAGGATGCACCAAAGGACAGGTCAGAGGGTAAGCCTGGAGTAAGGTTGCACTGTGGGCTGTGTCCCTTTAACAAAGAGCACAGCTCGTACCAAACAATCTTCTCCTGTAACAACTCTCATATGACTCCAAAGCCACCTCCTCCCTTGTCCCGTCTGGTCCAGGAGCTCACCTCTGCTGCTGATCCTGGGGTACCCACCACTCTTTGTAGGTTTCCTTTAACACAGCCCACACATCTGGAGACCTGGCTTTGATCCTTTTGTCCAGAAGATCCCCTGGAGAAGGGAATGGCAAGCCACTCCAGTATTCTTGCCTGGAGAATTCCATGGACAGGGGAGCCTAGCAGCCTACAGTCTCCGGAGGTCGCAAAGAGTCAGACACAACTGAGCAACTTTCACTTCACATCGTCACACACTTGTAAAGTGTCTGTTTTAATTTATGTTATTGTTGGTTGCACTGGGTATTCGTTGCTGCGGGCTTTCTCTAGTTGCAGCAAGCGGGAACTACTTTCTAGTAGTGGGGCATGGACTTTCCATTGCAGTGGCTTCTCTTACGGCAGAGCATGAGTTCTAGAACATGGGCTCAGGAGTGGGGCATGGGCTTAGTCACTCTACAGCAATCTCTTACGGCAGAGCATGAGTTCTAGAACATGGGCTCAGGAGTGGTGCATGGGCTTAGTCACTCTACAGCATGTGGGATCCTCTGGGACCAGGGATCCAACCCACGTCCCCTGCATCGGCAGGGGCACTCCCAACCACGGACCACCAGGGAAGCCCAAAGTGTCCTTTTCTAAACTCTCTTTAATTACAGGCTTGAGTGTGTCTTCTGTTTCCTATGGGTATCCTAACTAATACAGGTGGGGACAGGGGTGTAGTTAATTTTCACGCCTACATCCACAAAGTAAGCCCTACTAATGGTTAGCAGATTGCTAGTAGATACTCTTTAGTTATATATAAAAATAAAAGTTTTATTATTGGTTCATTGTGCTCCTATAAGTAGCAAATAAAGGACTTCAGTTTTTAATCAGTCTGAGGCTTATCAGGAGAGCCCCTAGGAGCTCAACCAGACTATTACTGGGATGGAGTGAAATGCCAGCCCGTTCTCAGGGGAAATAGATGAAACTCTCATTTCCTACCATCTGCCAGATAAGAATTGGAAGTAGAGAGCTAATGAAAACAGTTAATTTACTCTTTTTGGGAAATTAGGCAAGGCCCAACATTGATTTTATCTAGGCAAAAGGAATGTTACTAAGTGGCAAATATCCATGAATACTTTTGTCTGAACTGACTATAACTTTAGAGCTGTGAGTTCAATCAGTGGCTTCTTGTCATGTGTGGCCATTTAAATGTGAATTCACTAAGGTTAAATAAAATCAGCTTCTCGGTCACCCTAGTCACACTGGAAGTGCTCAGCAGTCCTGGATGACCAGGGCTGCAGTATTGACAGCACAGATGTAGAACTTTTCCACCATCGCCGAACACTGTATGGATAGCATGCTCTTAAGAATTAAGCCTACTTTTTCTATGTTGCATTTTTTTTTTAACTACCATATTTATTGAACTTTGGGGCACTCAGTCATCAGATGCCTGAGAACCTGAGAACTGTATTAAGTGTGTATTATATTGCTTGGAGAAGTAAAAAGAGTTGTGAACCTTTTGAGGAGAAAACACTTTGAGTTACTTCAGAAATTTTTAAAGGATGCATTTTAATTCTGTTAAATTTATTAAACAAAATAGTGAAATAATACATTCACCCTAATTGAATAAAATATGTGTGCTTTCTTTTCCTCAGATACTGGGATCAGCATTATAGCAACTTAATTGATTTTAAAATAAAAAATCTTACAAGCCTTGTATAAAAGATTCAAAATTATTTTTGGTTTTAACATATTGAAAATGAAAGTACTTATTAAGTAAAAATGTGAAAAGAAATTAAAAAGACATGTACCCACTCCCTCCAAGTAAGGTAAAGAAAAATTAACATTTTGGGTACTTACACTTGAAATCTATTTGAAAAAAAAAAAAGACAAATTTAATCATGAATCATTCCAGCCATAATAAGATCTATAATATCTAGGATATTAGAATGGGTTGGGTAGACAAATAAATCCAAATAAATAGTAAGCAGAGCTTAGATAAGAGTTCTTTAAATTATTTTTTTCTGCATGTCAGTGTTCATCCTTTATATATTTTGAGATAAAGCCAGCTTGCAGTTTTTACTTTTAAATTCTCAGAGTAGCCAGGGTTTTCTTAGAAGGGTTGTCATCATGGTTGGGTTGTACTACCTTCTCCTGGAAAATATGTTAAATGCCAGACCACATAGATGAGCACTGAAAGTACGCTATTGACTATTTTAAATTGGCATGCTGTTCTGCTGGAAGAAAAACAAAACTGAGGGACGTGGAGAAAAGGTAAATTTAGGTCATCTTGGACATAAATAGACTAAGATCGGTCAGTCTATTAAGTTGCCAAGATTTGCAAAGAATTTTTTTAAGCCACACCTTTTTTTTCTTATTACCAAAATAATTCATATTCATTTTAGACATGTGAGAAAACACAATTAAGCAGATAGAAGAATATGACAATGACCAATTTATTCTCCCTAGAGATAAACTCTATTAATAGTTTGGGATGCATCCTTCCAGAATTCATGTTTCCTTGTATGGAAAAATATACTAGTTTCACCACTTGAGGGTGTCAAGGTGAAACTTTTAATTTGCAATCTGCTCTTTTTCATATTACAACATCTTGTACCATTGGAAATTTTTTAAACACCTTTTTTTTTTTTTAAAGAGCAGCCAGAATTTTTCTGATCTGTGAAGTCTACTTTAGTAGTATTAAGTATCCCATTTCCCCATCAGTCAGCTGCCTGATTCAGACTATTTGATCTAGTGATTCCCTAAACAGTCAGCTCTCAATTTTCTGTGATCAGAAAGAAATGACCAAAAAAGAATTTTTTTTTACATCAATAATACTCCCTACTTTTCTGCTTCCCAAACCTCACTTGAAGACTGTCAATGCCTTTTCAAGCCCAACAGGGACACATCCACACATCCAAGGAAGGTAGAGGAGTTTTCTTTAAGTTACTCCGGAGCAACGAAGAAAGCTTTAGCGCTTCATCTTAAATGTGTAACATCGTCCAAGATGAGAGCTGTGACATCACGAGGAGTCAGAAAGGAGCCACTTGTTGGTGTGGACCACGAGTCACGTCATCATTTTGTGTTTGAAGACCATCTTTCCGGAGGCAGTAGAAGCAGTGAGGATGTTATTGTTACAGACGAAGGGTATGTGGCAGGCAGAGGGGAGGCAGAAACCATTTGGATGAAGATGGGGTGGGGCGGTGCGGCAGGCAGGACCTTCTGAGAAGGCAGAAGTAAGTAAACTGGTAAATGGAGAACCATGAGGGGAGAGAGGGTCCACGTGGTCTTGTAGGTCTTTTTTTTTTTTTTGGACAACTCAGGTACCAGCTATGAAAGAAGATAAGAAAAATAACAGAAGAGGAAACAGTTTGGATCAAGCAAAATAATGTCAGTTTTGATCATGTTACCTTTGAATTGCATGGGACATATCTCAGTGTAATATACAGTTGCAAACAACCATTCTGAAACTTGGGCTCTGGGCTCAGAACTCAGATTGAGGGCTGTGTTTTCCCTGTTTCTGCAGGACTTCGCAGAGTCTTTAGTTTGACAATACAGATTGCAAATTTCCAAGAACAAGCAATCTATAGCTGGCATTTCTCTACCTTATTTGTACATGAAATCTAGTGTTCCTTGAAACATTATTTTGGAGACATGGGTGTGCTGGTGTCACTGAAGGCTGGGCATCGATCAGATCCCCAAAGAGACAGTGTTGCACAGGAAGAAAAGAGGGCTGAAGATGAGACTTGGGCATCTCTAAGATATGCCATGTCCAAAGAGTGCAAGGAGAACAAGCAATGTTTTATTTTGATTCCTTATTTTATTTTTCTATTCCAAAGAAAGTTATGCTGCCTCAGAACAAAATACTCTGTCTAAAGTTTCACCATTTCATAAGTATATTATATGGTTTTCACAGTTCCGTGTCCATTCATACATTTATAAAATTTCTTTTAACTCTTAAAAGCTGTACCCCAAATTCAGATGGATGCTGGAGAACATCAACATTTAAAAGGGACCCGGCAGAAGAAGAGACCAGCAAGAGACTCTGGGGAAGAACCCCAACAGTCGGGAGGGAGGTCTTGCTTGGAAGCTGTGATGGTTGTATTTTAAGTCAACTTGGCAAGGCTGTGACGCCATTATCTGGTCAAACACTAGTCTAAATTTTGCCAAAAAGGCATTCTGTAGATGTGATTTATCTTTACAACCCTTAAGTAAAGGCGATCACCCTGGATAACATAAATAGTTCTCAATCAGTTCTTTTTAAGGCCTTCCTTAAAAGCAAAGACTAACGTTTCCTAAACAAGAAGACTAATATAGAAGTCCTGCCTGAGTTTCCAGTTTGCTGGCCTGTGCTACACATTTCAGGTTTGCCAGCCCCACAGTCCTGTGAGCTGACTCCTTAAAGTGAATTCTTTCCTTCTTCCCTCCCTAACTGATACAGAAGCTGAGTGAGGAGAATATTTCAAAGAGGTCATGACCAGCACTATCCCACTGTCTGATACCCTAAGAGGTCAAGATAAGGAGCAAAAGAAATGTCATCCAACGGAACGGACATTTAAATTTTTCCTGTGTTTTGTTTTTTGGGGAGGTGGGATGCTGCCTGACAGCGTAGGAGACGTAAGAGACGAGGGTTCAATCCCTGGATTTGGGAGGATTTCCCCTGGAGTAGGAAATGGCATCCCACCCCAATATTCTTATCTGGAGAATTCCATGGACAGAGGAGCCTGGCAGGCTACAGTTCACAGGAGTCGCAAAGAGTCAGACACAGCTGAAGTAATTTAGCACACATGCAGCATGGATAAAGAAAATCAGCTTATTAATTTTTAAAAAATTCTTCATTAGGGTATAGTACAGTTGCTTTATAATGTTGTGTTAGTTTCTACTGTACGGCAAAGTGAACAGTTTATGTGTATTCATATTCCCTATAGTATCAATAGAGGTTTTTTTTGAGAAGTATTTCAAGCCAATATTAACACCTTCGCACTTTGATCATTGTCACGTCTTGTTCTTAGGATGGCAAATGGAAATGCTGTACTCGGGGTGTGTGTTCCTGACAGGAGTTCTTCTCTGTAATCCTGGTAGTCCTTAGTAAGATTGTGAAACAGAGTTATCTTGGACACAATCTTCTCTTTCATCACCTGTAACTACTGAGATAGAGTCACCATTTCCTCCTTCTTGCTCAGATCTGTCTTGCTTTGTTTTTTTCACTTTTGCTCCCATCGGCATCACTAGTTCGACCTTACCTTCACCCCTGGCCTCCGAAGCTTTGAGGCTAAGCAGAACTTGAGGGCTGGGGGTCAGCGTGGGTACCCACGGGGACCTGAAGAACCTCCTGGGGAAAATGGCTCTAATGGAGGAGACAGCAATGTAGAGTGGCTCGGAGTCAGCCCCTCAAGTTCAGACACAAAGAGCTCCGAGGATGTTTTGGTGTCATTTCCCCCCATCATCACACTGGTGCCCGAGTCCTCAGAAGAGCGAAAAGACTGCAAAGGTCTTTTCCACCACCCTTTTGAGGCTCTGAAAATCCAAAGCAAACCTCAGTTTTGGGAAAATGCAGTTAAAAATGTAGAAAGTGGTGTGAACCAAGGCTGGCCACTTGATTATAGCACACAGAAGCTCGGCTTGTGTGAACTTCAAGCAATGGTGTGCTAATAAATATATTTGAACAACTGGCTCACTAGAAAATAAAAAAATAAAAGCCACAATGTGCAGAACTTGCTAATTTTCAGGGTATAAACATTTCCATCGTGGCCAGTTGCAAGCTGCAAATGTGATGTCGTTAAACACAGAGTTGGGAGAAGATGCAGAAACACCCCCTCCCCACCCTCCACACATAATAATTTTAATCACAGATTCGATCGATCAATCCATCCATCCATCCATCCATCCATCACACTCAGTCGTGTCCAACTCTTTGCAACCCTATGGACTGTAACCCACCAGGCTCCTTGTCCATGGGATTTTCCAGTCAAGAATACTGGAGTGGGTTGTCATTTACAGATGCAATAGAGGCAGGTAAATGTTATGATCATAGTAAAATAATGAGGAACTGATGACTTTTGAGAATGAATTGCTTTTGTTTTAATATTATTTATTTAATTATAGTTTATGTAACTGATGCTGGGAAAGATTGAGGGCAGGAGGAGAAGGGGACGACAGAGGATGAGATGGTTGGATGGCATCACCGACTCAATGGACATGGGTTTGGGTGGATTCCGGGAGTTGGTGGTAGACAGGGAGGCCTGGCATGCTGCGGTTCATGGGGTCGCAAAGAGTCGGACACGACTGAGCAACCGAACTGAACTGAACTTAGATTTTGGTAACGTGTGTGCTTGATGACCACAGGCCAAATTCCTGAATATGTCACCTCCAGCCATTGTCAGTCTAGCCTGCTCCAGCACACCACTGACTCAGGGCCCCAGGGCACAGCCCACTTGGGGCATCAGGGTGCCACAGCCTCAGGAGCACCAGAATTGGGGCGCAGAGAACTCCCGATGCACAAGGTTTGCATTGGCAAATACTTCCTAAGGATAGCCAGAAATACTCCTGAGCTGGGTCAGTGGCCATCAGTCCCTGATTCTCATTCACCTCTGTGAACAAGAGCTCTTGTTCTTATCTCTACTCTATGACAGGAAGCAAGCAGCAAGCTCTAGAAGAGTCTCATTCATGATTCCTCCTCTTTGCCAATCTTCTTTTTATCTGAATGCCTCTTCTT